TGTAATACCTTAATCAATAAAGAAATAAAAAAATCAACAACAATAAGAAATAATAAAATAGAATAATACTAACAACATACTGTAATAAAAGTTATGTGGGAAAAAAAAGATCCTATGACTCCAAACCTGAATAGGTTAAATTTTCTTTATTAAACTCTTATGAAAACTACATTATTTTCAAAACATTGTTTTTAATATTTAATCTAAGGCTAGCATTGTCACACTAATTTTTTAGAAAGTAGATAACTACAACAAATGGGTTTATCCATTTCCAAGTATCCGTAATAAAAGTTATGTGGGAAAAAAAAGATCCTATGACTCCAAACCTGAATAGGTTAAATTTTCTTTATTAAACTCTTATGAAAACTACATTATTTTCAAAACATTGTTTTTAATATTTAATCTAAGGCTAGCATTGTCACACTAATTTTTTAGAAAGTAGATAACTACAACAAATGGGTTTATCCATTTCCAAGTATCCTTATTGGTAAAAAGAGGGGAAAGTTCAAACTTCTTCAATAAATATTAGCCATTATTAATTGTAAAGGAATTTTAGATCAGTAGCTGGTTGAGTCTTTCTCATATCTTACCACTCACACTGACTCTTACTCTTCTCTCTTCCACATTTAGAAGAACCTTATAATTACAATGGGCGTACTCAGATAATCTGGGATAATCTATTTTTAGGCCATCTGAGTGGAAACCTTAATTCTATTTGCCACCCTGCCATGTAACATAACATATTCATAGATTCTAGGGCATGAACGTCTTTGGGAGGACCATTATTCTGCATATAAATATATATATATATACACATACATATATATATATATAAAACTGTTCATATACAGTTTTTCCTGTTTTTCTTCAGTATCTTACATCAGGCATCATCCTTTTCTGAAATTATGCAAACCTGTGTACATGAATCTAGAGAAAGGATTTATAACTGTCAACAAATTCTCAGTTTCAGAATCACTGGACTAGATCATAGAACACCAGTGTTCCTTGGAAGCATAATTTGGTGGTGTCAACAATTCCAAATTTTAGATTGGCCTTTTAACATGTATATTTTTAACTTACATTAATATGGGTTGATAGTTTTTGCTTAAGTATATTTTTGTCTGTGTTTTTAAAAATATATTATTTATTTATTTATTTCAGAGAGGAAGGGAGAGGAAGAGAAAGAGATAGAAATATCAATGATGAGAATCACTGATAGGCTGCCTCCTGTACACCCCTTACTGGGGATTGAGCCTGAAACTCAGGCATGTACTCTGACCAGGAATCGGACTCTGACCTCCTGGTTCATAGGTCCATGCTCAACCACTGAACCACACCAGCCGGGCATTCTCTGTGTGTTTTTAGATGTAGTTATAATCATGCTAATTATACTTCTTTATATCTTGCACTTCATAACATTTTCCATGTTGATATGCATCATTTTGTGATGATGCTAATAGCAAATACAGTAGATATTCCATAACTTAATAATCTTCCTATTATTAGACATTTCATTCTCCTACTCCCTTTTTTTATTATTATATTTAATGCTTGAATGAGGCTCTTGTATAGATTTCCCCCCATATTTTGGATTTATTTCACCTAGACTAGATTCCTGAAATTAGAGTTTCTGAAAGGAAAAATATGAATATTTTTATAACCCTTTTTTATATATCACTAAATTACTTTCCAAAAGGTCTGTTTTAATTTAGATTGCCACTAGCCTTTCTTTACTTTACTGATACCACCAATGTGAGGAGGGTTTTGTTTGTTTTTCATGTTTCTTGGATTTTCTAATCTGTTCTCCAGTATGCTTGTTAAAGTAAATTTCTAAAATATAAATCTGATCATATTATTCATTGGTTTAAGAATTTCCAAGTGCATCAATATAAAGGTGATATGCAAGGCCCTTCATGGTTTAACCTCTATCCACTTATCAGACTGAACTTTCTCACCTCCTTCAAAGACACCTAGGCAACAAATCACATTAACTACCTGAATTTTCGAGAACCTCCCTGTTTTTTTATACTATAGTGATTCTGCTTCAAATGCTTCTATAGCCTATTTCTACACTCTTTTACACGGGGGTAACTCCAATCCTTTAAGGCTCCACTAAGGTATCCTTCAAGACAGCTCCATCAAGCTGTACTTCAAGACACAGCTCAATTGTAACCTCCTCCTGTAAAGGTTTCCTGAGCCACGTACTCCTAACCTGGATTATAAGCTCTTCCTCTATATTTATCAAATTACAGTTTTAAAAAAATTTATGGTTCTTCCATTAGACTTTTGGCTCCTTGCTAACAGATACTACATTCTTTTCATCTTTATTTATCCAATTCTGATATGGTAAATGCTTGGTTAATTCTGTGTGCTAGTACATATTAAACCCATCAAAACATACCTACATTTTGAAAACTGCTATTCCCACATCTGGGAAATCTTCCAATAAACAAGCAAATAAATAAGAAAGTCAATTAGGAAAGCTATATGCATAAAAACGTTCAGTTCAGAATTTTTAACAAAAGCAAAATACTGGAAACAACTTAAATGCCAGAAATAAATGCATGGCAGAATTGGCTAAATGATATGAAATATGTAGCTCAGCCATTTGGAATGAAGGTTGTAAAAATGATATAGTAACTCAGATGCTTATGACATGTTAAGTTGAAAAAAGACAAAATAACTTTGCACTAAAACCCTATAAAAATATATGTACAGACATTAGCTAAAAGGGAAAATGAAAAATGTGAGCTGTTTGTGTGGACTATGGTTTCATTGCCTTTATTCAGAACTTCATGAAATTGCTATGACATTTCAATTATAATAAAAATAATTTAAAATTAAACACATGTCACTAACATATACGTATATATTGGTGTATTCATATATATCCTAGCTCTGCCTCTGAAAGGTCCAAGAAGCAGAGATACCTTAGTATCAACGAGCATACCTAGCCTTGGTCTCTAATACAGTTCTCCACTAAGAGGGCTCCTTAGAGAAAAAGTTAATTCCAGGGTGGGGCAGGGTAAGGATAAGATAAATATGGAACATCTTATTATACCACAAAGTTAGGAAGTGTTTTTTAAAAATGATGTAGGCATGTCACAAAGACACAGGAGCCAGACCAAAGGTCCTCCCTCTAGCTAAATCTGGGACAATTTGAACAGTGAAATAATTTACAAAATGTACACATATAAATATAGATAGAACATACATACTTAAATGGTAATTTTGATGAAGAGCTGTATATATCTTCAAATGTCTCCCCAGAAATTGCTTATTAATTGCCAGGAAGAAAAAAACAACAATACCTAACTATACAGTGGAAAACTCAAGCCACATATGGATCATGTAATCAAAATTAACATAATCAGTGAGGGACAGATGGATATCATGTGCTTCCAGAAGTGATACCCTGAGAAGGACACATATTATCTGCATAGTAATCCAGTTGAACTGTATAACCTCAATCTGATCATGAGGATACATCAGACAAAAACAAAATAAGAAATGTTCTATTAAAAATGGGGGTGGGAGACAAGCTGCATTCTTCAAAGATGTCAAGGTAAAGATTTTTTTTTTTAAGGCTATGAAAATGTTCCAAAATAAAGGATGTTAAAGAGTCAGGACAACTAATTGCAGTACCTAGCCCTAGAATGAATCTGTGCTGGAGGGGGAAATGCTATAAAAATCAACCTACAAAATTGGGATATCATGGTAAATTAAAATATTACTTCAATGTAAATTTATGAAGTTTATAAGAAATACACTCTCAAGCATTTAGGAGTGAAGGACCATGATGTATATAACTTAACCTCAAGTGTTTCAGAAAAAAAATTATATATGAACATACATAATTGTGAGAAGAGAAGCACTGTGCATAAGAGGAAGCAATTTCCTCCCAACTTTTTTTAAATTTAAAATTATTTCCCAAATAAAAGGGTTTGTTGTTGTTTTTTAATTAAATCCCCCTCAGAGAAATAAGACCAACAAGAAAATAAAAGGTACCCATCTAAATAAGTTTTTTTAAAAACATTCAATAGTGTATATAAGTTTTCAAGTTACCGTTCAAAATGCTTTCTTCTTTAACAGTCTTCATTCTTTCTTAAAATATGAGCATACCTGCAAATTTCACAATTTTATCTAAATAAGTTAATATGTTGAAGCCAACATACTATCAGTTGTAGCTTACTCATTAGACATAGCAGGAGGGAAAAACAAGCATTGAAAGTACAAGACTTCTGTTCTCCACCCTACATCCATATTTACTATTTGTTGACTAGTGACTGCATTCCAGTTTCCAAGTAAAACTTCGGATTTTAAATTATGACTTCAGTTCTACTGTTATTACAAGTAAAGAGTATGCAGAGACACAAACTGGATAGGTTAAAGGGGTGGGGGAGATGAAAAAAGCTGAAAACTGCCCTAATTGAGTACCTAAATAATCAAGTTCTTTCTTTTCATAAAGTACATCATTTTGTGGAGTCTTAAAATTTGGAGAAGGTATTCTTACTAGTTTCTTACCTGTGAATTTTATAGTCTGAAGTTTAGACTCTAAACGCTTTTTCTTTTTTTTTTTTTTCCTTTGAAATTCAACTCGGGAATTTAAAGTTTAGACTCTAAACGCTTTTTTTTTTTTTCCTTTGAAATTCAACTCGGGAATTTGCACCCCCTTGTGGTCAAATAAAACGTTTCATTTTTTTCAATTGGGCTTTTTATTCAGGCATAGGAATCATGTTACTTGATTTTGTTTTCTCCCGTTTTAGTGAATCAAGAGCTTTAATTAAAGATTTTGGGTTTATTAAAAAAGATTTTAAACAAAATAGCTTAAATCTAAAAGTAACCTCCATATAAACTTTAGTCTGTGCAAAATGGAGATAATAATTGCACCCACCTCATGCGTTAGTATGAGGATTCAAGTGAAAATTGCACATATACTTAGCACAGTACCTGACAGAGTAGGCACTCAATGGTATTATTTATAAACAACACTATCAATTTTATATTATCGTTCTCTTGACAGACTGTACTAAAAGGGAGCTAGATCAAAATTTACCAATTCATGAAGTTCAATATAGTCTTGAAAATAAGTTCCCCAAATATATCACTTATCTAGGCTTCCCTAGCTGATTCTCCCCAAAGGTACATTATATTTTTAAAATACAAAGAATATGTAATTATCTCTGGATGACAGAAATTTGGATGGTTTTTACTTTATATATTTTAGACCGGCCTGACTTTTTTTTAACTTTAATATTTAGAAAGAGCAATAAAACCATTCCATTTCCAGGTTACTCTTATGAAATGGTAAAACAAATTACCTTTCTGACAGAAATCATTACTCATATTCGGCAAAAATCATAGGTCAGGCTAATTTGTCATTTTAAGGGACTCTTGAACACAAATGCTAATTCCTAATGGCACTAACTACAGTTTGACTTTTAAAACACCTCTTAAAGAAGCCATTTTAAAAGACCAATGTTAAAGACTACTAGCTAATATTTACTAATATGCCAAGCACTGTTCAATGCCTTAAATATATTAGCTCATTTACATCGTTACAACCATCCAACGAGGCACTAGCATTACTACTTTAACAGAAAATCAAAGTCAGAAAAAGTAACTCCTGTAGGGTCACAGCTAGCAAGTAGCAGGGCTGGGATTCAAACCCAGGCAATTTGATTCCAGAGTCCACTTAACCAGTGCACAAAAGTACCATACACATATAAGATACACATACTACTTAGCCATGTTACTTTTAGATTTTAAATTACTAAAATCCATTTCTTTTTCAGTGTACCTTGATAATGCAAATGTGCCAGGCTTCTTCCATTTCCTCACTTCTTAATACTTCCTGCACTTATATATTCATTGTTTTAACCTTCATATGTCTTCATATACTTAAACACAAGTTGTTTTGCAACAAAAACTGGAAGGAAAACAACAACACAACAATACCCCAGATTTAAACTGTTGGATTCTTTAGAAACTTCATTATAATTTGGAATCAGGAAAAAGGTAACCAATCAAAAACAATCTTAAAATCTATTAATTTCGTATCAATCGCAGTTTAAAAAATTTTTTTCATCTTAACTAGCCTGTGGGCATAGGATAACTCTACCAAGCAAGTGAACTACTGAAAGAAATTTTTAAGGAAAGTGTTAAAATACTGACAAGTTTATCATCATTTTACTTGCATCATAGCACCTTGTTTTTAAGGTGGACACAGATTTGCCTAGGTCTTGTGCTTCCACTTACTAGTTGTAACACTTTGGGGCAAGTTTCTTGATCTGAGTCTTGGGTTTCATGTGTAAAATGAGGATATTACCTACTTCTTAGGGCTGTTGTGAGATATAAACAGGATCTACCCATAAATAGTTTAGCACCGTGCCTATCACAGACAATATGTGGTAACTAGGTATTATTACTTTATCAGTGTGTCACACAATGGAAACCCATCTTTACTAGATTCAGTTCACTTAGCAGGCCTTTTTTTTTTTAATTACTCAACGTGACACCCATAGACTGCTCATTCAACCTCTCTCATACTGAGAGAATGCGTAAGGACAAGTACGATGGTGAGGTAAACTGGATTCGATGAAAGCGTCTTTGCAACAGGACCGGGGAGGACTACGGCAAGTAAACACACACACACACACACACACACACACACACACACACACACACGGTTGTGGAGCAGGGGAAACCACGCCTCCTGTGTGTGCTCCCTTTGGATTGCACAGCCAGGAGAATGCCTCGGGCTCCAGAATCTGACAGATGCGGACTCATCCACATGCTTGCTACCTGGCAAATTACTTAGTGTCTCAGCCCTGGTTTCCTGGTCTGCAAACAAAATAATAGTACCTACCTCATAAAGTTGTTCTGAAGCTTATGTGCAATAACTCCTGCAACGCGTTGTCATACAGCAAGAGCTCTGCACACAGGCGGGGTTGTTTTAAGTACGCGTGTGTCCATCCAATATAGATGGTCTCGGAGACACATTCCGTTGTTGGTTTAGACACTGGCAATAAGACATTTTTCTTTTCGCTTAAGCTGCACCCTTATCTGTTTTCCTCGAACAGTAGACTAAATGCTTATAGACTGATATATCGTCTATGGACCTTCAGGCCCACAGTCCCACCGTCTCTCTACCTCCGAGGCTGAGTAAACGGGGACTTGCACGCACGCGCAAGGAAGAAGAGGTAGGAGCGTTGCCACCAAGGAAGTACTGGGAGAGCCGGGAACAGCTATAATTCTGCGCATGTGCAAAGAGAGAGAGAGAGAGAGAGAGAGAGAGAGAGAGAGAGAGCGAGCGAGCTGGGGAGTTGGGGGGAGGGGTTTGCGCGTGCGCAAAATTGTTGGGAGGGGTTGGAGGAGGTATTGACAGCTGTGGAGGCAGCCCGCGTTCCCGGCATGCCCCGGGGCGGCGGGGTTGGCTCTAACGAATTTGAATGAGGAGCCTTAGCGCTTTCGGCGCCATTTTCGAGTGATGCCTGAGCCCATCAATCTAGCGGGAGAGATGGGATAACCTGTCCGACAGTAGATCGCCGATAGGACTCCACCGAAAAAATCACTTAAAAAATCTCCAAAAATCACTTCAAGCCGAGGGCAGTCGGCGGAGCTTGGCCAGGGTTGGCGCTGTCGGTAAGAGACTGAAGTAGCAGAGCGGGACTCGGGAGGTGGCAGTGGTGGGACTGGCAGGCGGAGGGGGTGCAGGGAGTGGGCACTGGGTCCGTCTTCATTTTAATCACGAAAAAAGCGAGGAGGTCGGGTTGGGGGTAGCGGGGTGTCTGC